GACAGACACAAAAAAAAAAAAAATAAACACATCATGGTAAAATTAATACCTTCTCAGCTTCGCATCGAAGCTAAAATGTATCTTCGCCATATAATTATTTTTGTCGTGAGGAGGATATGACACTCATATCATTCCATAAATACACCACTGTGCGAATGAGCCGTCGTTATTGATGTTGAAACCTTCAATTTTATTTTAACTACGTGCTTACCTACCATGTACAATACTGATGTTAATAAACCATACGTCCTGCTTTACAGTCGAAGCGTAGGCAATTGGACTCGTTCACCGAGACATATAACTCAGAAATGCCAAAAAAAAAAAATAATAGTAATAATAATGACGAAGTACAAACGTAATCGCTAGAAAAGATTTATTGCGTAATTCGGCAGTCCTTGATTTAATAATAATAACAATAAAAAACCAAACTAAAAACTATCACCAATTTTGTTATAATTATTATGTGCATCGGCGCATTTAAATGACTATGAATTTATACAACATGAATTTTGTTATTTTTAATAAAAATTCATAAAGTAAGATTTATGTTAATACATTACTTTCTTAATTTACTCTTATTTTATTTATCATAATGGAGTTATCGTTTTTAAAATAAAATTAGTCTTTTACCTGTAATTTGACGGTAGTATTCAGTATGGAGTAACAAACTGTACCTTGTAATACTCAAAAATATTTCTGTAAACCACAACTGATTTTATGAACACCAATAATATATGAGTAAAACTACAATTTTATAAATTGTATTTTAGAGGAAAGTTTTTTATTATAAGCCATTAATAACATTATTATATAATGTTATTAAAAGCAATATTAATGATTCTTTAAAATTTTACTGAGGAAAAGTTGAAAAACCAAATCCTTACAGCAAAATTAGTTCCGATTACTAATGTATCATATAAGGAGTGTTGATTTATCCTTGACCACCAAATTTTTCCTAAAATAATAATTAAAATAAAAAATTAATTGAATTTCAATAGTAACATTATTTTTGTCGATTTTATTTTATGCTTTATTTTTTTTTTAATTTCAAAATACACAAAAATAGTAAAATAATCAATAACATAAATTTTAAACTTTAAACACAACGTATAATATTGGTTTCATTTAGTTAAAAATAAAATATACTCAATTTTTATTTCCCTTGCTCTCAAATGGGTGTCCATGGACATATACAGTACTTCAATAATTATATTAATATGAGCTTTTGTATCGTATTTATTAAATATAGCTATTTTATTACACTAGTTTTATCACAAGATTATTGATTTTTTATAAACAATGTAAAAAGTATTTAAGATAATCCATAAAGTAACGATATACATTATTATTTTATAGATTTATCATTTTGAAGTGCATTTATGCTATTAACTGTGGTTGTGTAGTAAAATGGAGGTGATTCCTCTTATTAGAAGTTCAAACACTGGTTCGGAAACGTCTAATGGCGGCAATGACATTAAAAGACGCGTTCAAGAATGGTCAAGACTAGACAGACTGACTGGTATATTGGAACATGCCAGAGTCGAAGCCGATCAATGGACTAATCACACAGCTAATACAAAACATAAATTTGGAAAAGTATGTACAACTATTTTTTTTATTAAAGATACAATTGTGTTATGGGGGTTTCATAACCACTCCACCCGTTAAAATATTCGATTAATTAGGACAAGGCATGGTGTGGAAGTTTCTATTTTTCACTAATATTATACAATTTTTAGCTATATTAAAATTAAAGAACATATAATTTGTGATTTCTACCAATGGTCTCTAAAAAGAGAAAATAGTTGATCTGTTTCTAAACGAGAATTACTCATCCATACTTATATTTCTATACATCAGTTATAACGTTTAAAAATGTATTATGTAGGAGAAAAATTTATACTTTCCATACAATAAGACTCAAAAATCATTATACTGATTTTTAAAACTTGTGATTATTATAATTTTATTTAACAAAGATAAATAACTATTTGTTGGAGCATTCATTATGTATGTAAAAAAAAATGAATAATTTAGTAAAGTTTTATTCTTGTTGTTATTAAAATGCTCAATAAATATTAAAAATTGTAAATATATTTGAGTCNGTTGTTATTAAAATGCTCAATAAATATTAAAAATTGTAAATATATTTGAGTCCACAAAAGTTTTATTATATTAAAACTTATAAAGTTATAGACATAATATACATACATTTGTATATATATATATATATATTTATTTATTTTTTATACTCTACTTCAATCAGCAATATAAGATGCCAAATATAGTGAAACAACTTTATTTCTAAGAGGGAATTAATTTAACTAAAGTTGTTCTAGCTAAATTTGGTGTTAGACATTACCCTAACTCAGAGTTTAGATATAAAGGTCAATTTTCTCTCGTTAACCATATTTTAACACAAAGTTCATTGGCCAAACGTAAAAACCGTACACACTCATGCCTATATTAACCCAGCTAGCTATTTCACATACCATATCTAACAAATGAAAAAAGTCAAATCATGCAACCATTGATTAAGTCATTAACCGAATAAAAATAAGTATAATTTGATTTTAATTTAATTAATAATGTTATTATTGTTGTTTATTTTGGTTTTAGGTTACGAATACACGAGCGCGAAATTTAGCTGATGGTAGTAAAGAGCAAACAAAACAAACAAAACAACTCGAAGTATTTCAATCGCATACAGATGGCTGTTCGGTTCAAGTTATCAGATCTCATACGAGTACTACGAGTTCCTGGCATAATTCTAATGTAAATAATTTATTCTCAAAAAGTTTTTTAATGATTATTTAGAAATAAATATTTTGTTTTACTCAAAAAATAAATACTATTAGCATAACTCGCACAAAAATGTTTACATAATTATTGGTTTGTATTAAATAATAATAAAAATTTAGATTTAATTTTTTAAATTGTTAATTTTATTTTTTAGACTATTTCAGGATTGCCACAATGGTCTTCTATATTTGATAAAAAAGAGCCTCAATTTGATCAATTTAATCTCGAATTCAGTCCTCTAGATGTTAGCTCACAAAAAAACAAAGCTAGCATTGGAAGAAGTGGTTCGATTAGTAGTAGAAGACCTCCAACTCGCCGTCCACAGACTGTTAGATCAAACTCACCTATAATTGAACTTGTTGATTCTACTGATAACGATGAAACATCAAATAATCATCAAGAACAAAACAGTGATTCCAATTCAACAAACCTCAATCGTTATAAAAGTTGTTCAACCGATGAAATACATAGTGAAACTACGGAATCTGATGATCACCACCTAGACAGATCTTCTAGATTCCGTAGGTCATTACAGCTATCTCAATCTAAAAATGTCCAAGAATCTAGTCACAAAGTTGTTGGAGAACTAGAAGATGTTTTAAAAAAAGTTTTAGGTAAAAAATTGCATGTTATAAATAGAGAAGAGTCGACGGACGATGAACAATTGATAAAACCTTTGTCAGCTTTAAAAAAACCAGCGTTTATTACAGTAGAGAGTTTAACCGAAACTAAAAATAATCTAAAACACTATGATGATCAAAGTAAAGATGACGACGGCATAGAGCCAGATGTAAAACCTGTTGCAAATATTAGAAGTTTGGATTACAGAGGATCTACGTTAAATAGAAACGAAGAATGGTACAATAGACGAAAGTCTTATGGATTCGAAAAAATGGCATCAGATCAAAACGACAAATATACAACAGACTTATCAGCAATTGATTCTTCTACGGATAGTGGTATTTGCCGTTCAACAGAAAACGGTTTGTCAAGTTCAAGTCGCCAATCATCAACAGACCGCGAATGTATTGCTGATCTTGTTAAAAAATATTCCAACAAAGAAATTAATAATAATAACAGCCAAGTTAATCCATATAGTACAACTTTAGTGACAAAAGGTAGGATATTAGAAGCCATAAACAGTCTAAGAACAAAATCAAATACTTGCTTTGATAATGTAAAATTTGGTGAAAACATATCAGTAAATTTAAAAGAAAATGACAAACAACAAGTAAGATTTTATGTTATCTAAACATATATTTTTTTAATTTATTATATTTTAAAGATTTTTGGAAGACGACTATCTGTTGATGCAGACCAAATATTAGAAAAAGAAGAAGTTCCCAAACGTCATTCAATAGCTGTTGTAAGCGAAGTAATAGACAAAGTTCAAAATGTTGACAAGAAGGTTGCTAGTAAAAAAGTAGAATTTTGTAGAACAGAAGTACATTTTGATACTACCCCGGGAAAGATAAATATTGTTGATATGGAAGATAAGCCTGCACCAGCTCAGATATACAGACCAAAAAAAAAGTAATTTAATAATGAACTTTAACTTAAAAAATAATGTTGGTTCTTTTTAAAAATTACTAATCGTTAATTAAATTTTTTTAGATACAATCGACCACCCGATAAAAATAATGGATTACCCGAATATCATTTTGGAGTTACTCCTAATGATATAGTATTGATTGAACAAAATAAATCTAGTACAGATGAAGATGATAATAAACCAAAAAGTATTCTAAAACCACAACAACAAAATGTAAAAGAAGAAAATTTGGGTATAGCGTCTGATAATGGAATCGAAGTGAGGATCTCCTCGACTGAATCTACTCCAGTAGACTATCGACGAGCTTCCTGGTCAGTGGCTGATAGGGTAAAGCAAGTAGAAGCTATAGGTTTTTCTACTAGGGTTAATTTTACTGAGGGTGAAACTACAGCAGTCGGTTTTGATCCAGCTGATCCTAAAAAATATCACCGTTACTCTTATAATGAAACTAAGTCACCAGTCTGGAATCAAAATAACAGCAACGCTGCAGGTACAAATTTAAATTTTAAAGCATGGTACGGGTTTGAATAAGTTCTTCTACTCAAATGAACATTTTAATGATAATAACAAATTAAATACTCTAAAAACAAAGCTTATTTTTTAATACTAAGTTTTTGACTATGCCTGAATAATCATAAAAATATACAATCCGCTTTACATAAAAAAATTATATTTGTAGCTATTTTCCAAAAGCTGATATGTCACTTTTAGCATTTTTTTAGGTCAACAAAAACAAATGAAAAATTCTCAATGGTATATTATTGAAGTTCAAAAGACAAACCTTCCTAATAAAACTGACTCTTAATTTTTTGATACAAATAATAAAAAATCTAAAAAAGCTCATTTTTTTGATATAATAGCTTTTGGATATGAGACACAGATATAAAAACGAATTTTTTATGAATATACTAACAATTTTAAAATGAATTATAATAACATTTACTTAATTATTTTAAACTAAAATACTCATCAAATATTACAAACATGATTTTTAATCCTTTTATAACTTTTAATAACTCAATATACACACTAAATAAATTTAAAATTATAAAATGTAGAAAAAATTAATTTAATAAACAAATGTGTGTTCTGTTATAAGAATAACAGTATATTTTATATATCAATTTACATTACATCACTAATTGTTTACTAATATTACTCAAAAAACTTTACTTATTTACTACAAATAAAAACAATTACTTCTCATTAAAAATTAAATTCAGGTGCTAGTATGTTATTAACTTAATCAATAAATAACTTTAAATTAAATCTTTAAATTAAAACATAATCTTCAATCCGAATTAAAGATAACATCATTAATTAAGATTTGTAAATACTTTTTTTTTTTTATTGCACATTTTCTCCTGTAGATTTTTTTTTTCTGATGAATAAGCTGATGAATATAAAATAAAAAAATACTTTTTTTCAAGGCAAAACAGTAAATTGTTGAGCATGGCTTATGTGATATTATATGTAGTTTTACGCTTTTATATATGTTGTGTGCTCTTGTACTTACGTGCCTCAGTCATAAACAGTAGTGATAGCAGTAGTAAAACAAATGCAATGCATTTTGTGCAGCTTATATGAACAGCTCTATAGTGTCTTGCAGCATGGTAAAATACTATAATTATATTAGAAAGCATGGATCATTTACAAAAGATGGAATAGTATAATAATTAATAGTATCTGGGACATTACAGATAACGCTGTGAAATGTCATGAGAAACTTTTGGTCCGTATTGGTACATCTGGTGCCCAAACGCATTCTATAGAATCAACTTCTGGAAAAGTCAACGACTGTACACTAGCATCCACTTCGTTGGTTATGAATACTCCATTTCGTTCAGAACAACCTAGCACATATACAGAAGAAATTAATATAAAAATGCAAAGTCGAATCCAAAAAGCTAGTAGCACATCATGGCCTCGATCCAATCACAAACATTTTTCGGCACTTGCGTTTAGAAAATTTAACATATTGAAATCATGTACTGTCATCAAACATGACCAAGCTTCGGAATCAATGCCGGAAGTTTTAGTTGCCTTGGATGACCTGAGTAAAACTATCGATCAGCAAATCGTAGACAGTAGCACAAACAAACACGTGATGCTTATTAAAGTACGACAACCCCGAGATGAAATTCGCGGTCGACTGGAGTACGCAAAAGATCTCATGAGTACGGATGAGACTAGTGAAGAGAGTTTAAAGGCTGATGAAGAAGTCAGGTCATACATGGCCGCTGACTGCAATGAAAATGAACAAGACTGCTCCCCTTATTCCCATACATGCGACAACCTGAAAAAGCTCATATCTACCATAGAACAAAATAATGATCTTTTATTTTGTAATCAAGGTACTCTTTTATAAATTGTAATAGGAGAAATTGTGCAATATTAATCGACCTCTAGTAAAAATAACAAAGAAAATCATTATAATATTTAAATGCACCAGTGTTAAAATAATTCTAAATCATTTTTCAGATGGTTTTATCAAACAATCAGAAGATAAACTTTCACCAGTAACAAACGTCAGTTCGGTACTGTTGAACCATGAACAACAATTAACGTCAAATGAACAGTCCAAGTTCCAACCAGTAAAAATTCATACCGTACCTATGACAGTACTTGATGAAAATTTTGTTGCGATACCACAAAAAACTAGTAAAAAAGTCCCGGTTAAAATTGTACAAGATAATCGAAAAGAAAAATCAAAATTGACAGTACCAGCAATTAAAAAATGCACTCCTAGTGTTTCGCTAAAACAGGTATTTTTTATTTAATAATGATCAAATAAAAATAAAAGTTGTTTGTGGATTAAAGTAATTGATTATAATTAATTACTTTAATCGGTGTAAAACTTGAACATTTAAATTTTTAGGTTCCTATGACAATTCAACCAAAAATAGCGTCCCAAGAAAGAGAAAAAAAATTTGATAAAAAAGAAACGACCACCAGTGTTATTGGGCCAAGAGTAGGTAGTATACGAATTAGAGACAAAACTTCTCAGAGTAGAAATCAAGATCTTTTCAGCACTGGCAGAGACAGTTGGTGCAATATGCCAAAAGACTTGGGACCCAAACTTAATAAGTCTAAAGTGACAACGTACAAACAACGAAATTGTAAAGACATCGTGGAATCTGTAGAAGTATCAGTACTTGAAGAATTAAACCGCGCAGCCGATGAGATCTTAAAAGCGGTGAATGGATACACAGATGATGAATCTCAAATGCATTCGAATTTTGACGATAAAAAGAAAAAACCAGATGATGCGAAATTAAAAAATAAAAAAAGGGCAGCTAGACTTTTACAGAGAGCTAACAGTAGAGAAGCTCTTTTACATCTTGATGAAATTAGTTCTTCAGAAGATGAAGTAATTGAAGAAACACAACGAACAAAACCAAGAACTCAAAGAAAAAATAAATCACAGCAAACTAATAATAGCGTCGCCACTAAAACTACAACAAGTTTTACAAAAAAGTAATATTTTAATTTCATGTAAAAGTTCTCATAATAATGATTTTTAATAATTATTCACAGAATTCAAAATCGCACACAAACCAACAACACTTTAAAGTCAAATAATGTCCAACATAAAGTTCATCCAACTTACTATGGAAACGTATCAAACAGTTCTACTCAAACAACGAGATATCGAACCAAAACATCAGATATTAAACGTAATAATTAAATAAAAAAATTAATTATAATTTTAGTTGGGCGTTATTTGTTTAATTTATAAGTAAACGACCACATTAATATATGAAGTTAATATTCCAACATATTTAGTTATTGTAAACGAATAATATTACTTACAATAGTATTTAGTTACCATATAAAAATTTAGTTAATCTTTAAAAATCTTTATATCTAAGATTTGAATTAAAGAGCTTCTAAACTCTTTTATTCAAATTAAGGAGACCATGATTACATTGTTTACTTTTCTACAAAAACAAATAAAATTTTGAGTATTTAAATATTTATAACATTTAATAAAAATAAGAGCAATAACATAATAAAGACAAATTAATCATATTTTAAGATAATTTATAACTTTATAAATACACTGATTATAAATATTGTTTTAAAAAATTTTTATTTTCAGAATCTATTGATCAGAAAGAAAACAAACCGAAGTATCAAAGCAAAATAACGACCAGGGTTTTTAATTCAAAGTAATTTTATAGTATTATTAATGTGGATTTGATTTATGTAATACTTTTATGATTAGTACCCTTGAGACGCGATGAAATTAAATTGTCAATTCAAATTGTTTGATAAGTTACAATTTCGGCCTGGTCTCAGAGACTTTTTAAATTTATCCCCACAACTTATCTTTAATGTGTAAACAGCTCCTAAAAATAAACAAAAATGCTATTTTTTTTTAATATTGCTATTTTTTATATTGTTATTATTTTTAATTATTAGTATCTACAGTTTAACACAAACAACAAACACATAAAAATCGCAGGGGCTTAATAATCCCCATTAAAAATAATTTACAAAATAGCTCCCATAGAAACAATTATATAGATATTAACTATAAAGTTAAATATTTTAATATATAAATATTTTGTATTTATACAGAGTGGAACGGATCTAACTGACAATTCATATAACTTATGATCAGTGTTGGGAAAGTTCCTTTTTAAATGGAACTCGTTCCGTTCCCCGTTCATTTTATAAAATATGAACTCGTTCCAGATCCTAGTTCTTTATATTAAGAAGGAACTTGTTCCAGATCCAGTTCCTCCAAAATAAGAACTCGTTCCACTCTTCGTTCCTTTTATGTAACCAAGTTATTTAAAAAATTGTGGCAATGAGATCATGATAACGGTCATCAATGATTTTCATCAGCAGTCGAATACAAAACAAATTTGTAGTATTCCTTATCTAAAAGTATTCGAAAATTATATTTATAAAAAGGTAGTAAATGCTAACGACTTGTGTCAACGCGACCAATGTCTATTGTCTTCATATAAGTTAGAAATAATAAATCAGAAAACCCAAAACCTTTAACATATATTAGTTAACAAGAAACGACGATAATATTCGGTGCATTATTTAATATATGTACACATATATTAAATATTTACTGTATACCTACATGTGATAATAACTCTATAGTCAATTGATTCATTTAAACAGCCTACGATCTCGGCTGGGTATATAGGGGACTTCCATTGTCAAAAGTCAACTAAAAATACCTTGATATTTTAATGTCTAGATACGAAGAAAACTACACTAAAACATGTTTATAAAAATTTTTAGGAACTGTAATTTCCGTTCACGTTCCTTAAAAAATGGAATTTGTTCATTTTCCTCGTTCCTTTATTTTAAAAGGAAGCAGTTCCTAGCTTCGTTCCTTCAAAAAGAACTCGTTCCAGGAATCCGTTCCTTTTGGAACCAGTTCCTTCTCAACACTGCTTATGATCTACATAACAATTTATACTTTTATTTTTTTTAATCAATTTTTACAATATAGAACTATATTTAAAATATGTTTTATGTTATTTTTTGCAATTAAAAAAAATATTTATTTGTTTTAAGATTTTAAGATAGTCATTTTATAGATAAGTTTTAAAGAAAAATTTTGATACCAAAAATTCTTATTTTAATTCAGTAGTTACGTTTATACAGCATTTTGAAATTTGTTAAATTTTGATTTTTTATACAATTTTTCTATGGTATCAAATGTCAGTCCATATTATGTAAAGTATAGAAGTAAACACTAATTACATTATTTATTGGTAACAGTACGCGATTTCTTTTCCATGGATAATAATAACGTTTAACACGCTTTATACAGAAATGATTATTCTAATCTTTATTACAAAAGTTAGAAATATTATCGTATGTCAACTACGAGTGTTCCATGGTTGGCGAAGTTAAAAGCGATAACAATTATTCATTTGGGTGATTCTATCATTGTAATCATATTATTATGGGATATTCTTTGTTAGGAAATTTCATAATAAATGCACTTATTCACTATTATTCACGTTTCAATTTATGATATATGAACCTATTTAATTGAAAATTCAACATGTTTTAGACAATGTTTCTATAATTTTTTTTAATAATCTGAATTATACTACTAAATGTTTTTTCATGTCAATTACAAATGCTTATTCAAATGTTAATAATTTTCATGGAAAAGAAATCGCGTACTGTTACCACTAAATAATGTAATAAGTGTTTACTTCTATACTTTACATAATATTGACTAACATTTGATATCATAGAAAAATTGTAAAAAAATTTAAAATTTAACAAACTTCAAAATGCTGTATAAAAGTAACTACTGAATTAAAATAAAAATTTTTGGTATCAAAATTTTTCTTTAAAACTTATCTATAAAATGACTATCTTAAAATCTTAAAAAAAATTAAAAAAAAAAAATTAATTTTTAAAATATTTTTTTTAATTCCAAAAAATAACATAAAACATATTTTAAATATAGTTCTATATTATAAAAATTGACTAAAAAAATAAAATTATAAAATGTTATGTTGATCATAAGTTATATGAATTGTCAGTTAGATCCGTTCCACTCTGTATATAACGTTGTATATACACTTAACTAACACATATAACATTTATTTTGTTAACAGAAAACCTAAGAATCCTATCGAAGAAACTAGAAATCGCATTAAAGGAAGTTAAAGTTTACGATTTTTTTTATGATATTATACTTAAATTAACATTATACTATGTGTATTGACCATTCATAATATATTGACGTGGTTCTAACTAGATATATTAATTTATACATTATAAATAATATTTGTTTATAAAAAACTTTGGGTAAAATTACTTTAATATTTTATGTTTCGTAATTGTAGTTTTTCTCTATTGTTGCAATGTATACAAACTTTTAAATTAATTTAAAATTTTGTTATACGATATGTTACTTTTTTATATAAGACATGTTTATTAACAAAATAAAGTGTGATTTTACCATTAAATATTAATATTTTTAATTGTATTAATCGTATATGATTACCATATCAATCATATATATATGTTCTTTTATGGTCTTCCTCCAAATTTATTTTTCTATTTGTTTATGCTAAATGTTTAAAATTTATATAAGCATTAATTTTTTTACGTTTTTTACTTTTTTAAGAACAATAACAAAGAATAATTCTTTGATCCCATGAAAAATATACTTAAGTCAATTTGATTAACTTTTACAAAAAAACACTTAGAAATTTTGAAAACATACACATTTATAAGAACATTTTTACTTACGTAGTAAAACTTGAACCTTTCTCCTTTCTCTAGAACAAAATGATTAAACTCCATCAATTGTAGACGAAAAAATTAAACGAGTAGCTGTTTGAGGTGAAATGTTTATTAATTAAGAATTTTAAAAATAATCTCATCAATATATATATATTATTTTTTCAATGAACTTGTGAGAGATTACCACTAGCAAATAGAAATGTAAGAAGTTAATTTTTATTCAACAATATTTTTATGACCTATTGAAATGATTTTAAAAGAAAACAGAATTTTGGGGAAAAAATATTAGAGAGTGAGTTAAGAGCTAATACCTCCTAACTTATCTATAACTAAATTAATAATTTTAAAACAAATATAGAAAATGTTTTTAATCTTATTAAGTATAAAATTAATAAGGATATTAATTTAATTTATTAAAATAATAATTATTATTTACATAAAAATCAAATATATGTTAATTTTGTTTCAACGACAATAATTGTTACTTAATAAAATAGTCATAATTATTATTACTATGCCTAAATTTATAAAGACGATAAGTATTTACGATTTTTTTCTTAATTCTACACAATAAAAATACAATTTAACTGATTAAAATGTTAAATTGATTAAAATATTAGAGCCGACAAATTAATTAACTAATAAACTAATTATTAAATAATGGCCTGACTCATTATTTTATCAAATATTTCAAAATGTACATTGGTCTCATGTGACTTTTTAAACAGGATTTTGTTTTAATCATGTTTTTTAACAACTCTGATTAAATATATAGAAAGGATCTATTCTTTATCTATGTCTATAAAAGTAACATTAAGAAATTATGTTACTAGTATTTTCTAATATACAAATAAATAAGTTTTAGTTTATATCACTGGTTAAAGTGGAAAAAACTACGAACAGGGATTATAGTTCCTAAAAAATGAGGAGCGTTCCGAGCCACACCGAATTGTCTCCCCTCAAAGGTTAAAAATAATATTGATCATAATAAGCAAATATACTTAATTAGTAAAAAAAAATTTTTTCAATAAATGAGTAAATTAGTATCTTATACAATTTTTGTTATTTCATTTAAAATTAATTAGAAATGAATGTTATTCAAAACATCACAAAGTCAGTATTAAAATTTTAATTTATTTTGAAAATCAATACCCAACAGTTTTTTTAAGTTTTAAATATTATACTATAACAGAAACAAATTGAGAAAAAAAAAAACATTAACAGTAACCAATCTAGGTAGGTATCTACACATAAAATAATGAATTAACAAATATACTAATTTAATTTATAAAATTTAAAAAAAATTAAAAATATATCAACAACCTTGGTAGATATATTAATATAACAAATGTTTATATCACCTTAAATTTTTATTTCTATAACTTTATAACCCTTAATATAATAAGTCTTTTAGTTCCATATGTAGTCACAAATTAATTACATGTTTTTTAAACTTAAATTAAAGAATTAATTAAACCTTTGAATAATACAAAAAAAAACAAGTACTTATATTACCACGGTCGTATCATAAAATTCTTAGCAATTTTATAATTTAAGTTCTTCTACAGATATTTTTTTTTTAACAATTTTGAAATTTTGACTATTTGAATAAATTTTTTATATTAACGTTTTCCACTCTGCAGAACTTAAAACTAAAGCGTTTCCACGGAATTTTGGGATTTGATTTAAAGGGGACGTTAAATTGAATGCCAAATAAGAAGGGGGACTTTGTCCCACTCCGTCCCTCACTTTAGTCACTTGTTTATATTATTTATATTTAGTTATGTTAGATAGTAGAAACGTAATTTGAAAATTTTGATTTCATTTAAATTATTGAGAGAACTCGAATGATTTGAGGAATACAATTGAAGCGAATTAGAATAATTTTCAATCAGCTGTTTCTCATGGAAAAGAATACTAAACTGATAGTATTTAGGATAACTCTGTTTTACGAAATCACATGTATAGCAATTGTGAGCCGGAAATTAGAATAGCCGCCTATCAGACAAACGCAGAAGCTTAGAATTAATTTACTTTACTTTACTAAAATATTGATAAAGATTTTCACGTTCTTGAAGTAAGTGTTTTAATATAATTGAAGAGTTAATTTTTGTACAATTTTTAATAAAACTATTTAACATAGATAAAATATATTCTTGAGGTTATCTATTTACGATCGCGGAACCCTTTCAATGGCAACTATATTAAAATCATCTAAATTGATTTGTTACACATGTGAGAATATTTAAAATATGATATAATGAATTAATTTTACCTGATATTTAAATAAAAAAACGCATTAATTTGTTACAGTGCCCCGTAATCGGTCTGCTTCGAATCTTACAAGGTGTATTCAAACATTACATGTAAGCACAATTTATATAAATTTTATTGCTTGTAATTTAAGTCATACTCAGCTAAATTAAATTGTAAAATAAATGTTGGCTTATATTTTTAGATATATCTAGTTATTTTACCTAAAAATTCCTACGTGTTTGTATGTGTTTATACTAAAATATCATAAGTATTAATTAAATAGTTTATTAATATTCAAATATTTTGTTTAAACTATTAGAATTTATGTAATAACATTTAGTATTTCATTTTATGCTTATCAGATTTATTTGATTATTCAAATTTTTTAAATTACCTCAATAAATTATGTAAGACTTTTCTATTGTAATTATCTCATTTTAACTACTTCAATCTATCTTAGTATAGTTGAACTTATTTTACCCATAAAAGGAACCTGCAAAAAACTTTTTTTATTAAAATAAAAATATCCAAATGAAAAATTACAATTAAAATTTAAATATGAAACCAAGAATGAAAAAAAAATGTAAGGTATTGACCATTTAGAGTTAAATAAGTTCCTATGCATTAAAGTTAGATGTAATTTGATTTGATCTAATGTATTGGATGAAATTTGTAATTAGAAAATTACAGGTCAACAGAAGTTTTGGATTAGTACTTTAAAAGTTATTTACATTTATACACTTTGGTAGTAGAAGAGTTGTAACAGATAGATAAATAATTATTTTTTTTTAGAGGTGCAATGTACCACTTCAAAGATGTATGAATGATTTTCTTCATAGAAGAAATGCAGTTATTGGTACAGTTGTTGGTCATGCTAGAATGTATGCTGCTCCAAATGAAAAAAAAGTTTTTCAACGTGTAAAACCTCATTGTAATATTGGTACAATAGGGCATGTAGACCATGGCAAAACTACATTAACAGCTGCTATTACTAAAAGTAAAAAAATAAATAAAAAGGTTTTCTTATAGACTTACTATCAATTTATATACTCCAATAAACTTAGTTTTTACTTAAAGTTATAATTTTTTTTTTTTGAAATTTAATATTGTTAAACATTTTTTTTCCAAACTTTGATAAAAATTTTAAAGGTAGCATCACATCAACTAAAACGATTATTTCACAAACACATGTAATGTTTTTTTGGTTTGAAAATATACATAATGGTCTCGCATGTTTTGGTAAATCTTATAATTTTTGATTCAGTGACTATTTTGTAGTACTTTTATTTTTAAATAACTTGTTTACACTTTTGGACTACAATAATAATGTATGTTATAATATTTTTTGAATTTATGTAAAAGTTAATGAAACTTTTCAATTTCAAATAACATAAAAAAAAACTTTAACTGCTTTTGAAAACAAACATTAATATAGCAAAATTCATAAGAAATGTTTTAATACATTTGGTAAATTAAATGACCTAAAATTTCAAAATTTGACTTAACCACTTTCTCTCAAAAATCATTTTTATATTTTTGGATTGTATTCATTTTTAATGATGGATTTTTTTTGTTTAATAGTTTTGTCTTCAAAAAAGATGGCAAAAATGAAGCAATATGCAGACATTGATAATGCACCTGAAGAAAAAGCTCGTGGAATCACAATTAATGTTGCTCATGTTGAGTATGAAACAGAAGCAAGACATTACAGCCATACTGATTGCCCTGGTCATGCTGATTATATTAAAGTACTTAAAGATATTTTTTAATTTCATTGTTATTTGCTAATCATTAAATTTTTTATAGAATATGATCACAGGAACTAACCAAATGGATGGAGCTATCTTAGTAGTAGCAGCTACAGATGGTGCTATGCCTCAAACAAGAGAACATTTGTTGTTAGCTAAACAAATTGGTATTGGTCACATCATTGTTTTTATTAACAAAGTTGATGCAGCTGATACTGAAATGGTTGAGTTAGTTGAAATGGAAATTAGAGAATTACTCACTGAAATGGGTTTTGATGGAGAAAATTTACCAGTTATCAAAGGATCAGCTTTATGTGCATTGGAGGGACGAGAACCTGAAATAGGTACTATAACACTGTATAAAAATATACATATTATGTAATTATTGACTTCTAAATTTATTTTAAAGGTCAAAAAGCAATTGAAACTCTATTAGATGAAGTCGATAAATATGTACCACAACCTGTTCGAGACTTGGACAAGCCTTTTATGCTACCAGTTGAGCATGTATATTCTATACCTGGTCGTGGTACTGTAGTTACTGGTAGATTAGAACGAGGTATTATTAAAAAAGGAAATGAATGCGAATTTGTGGGTTACAATAAAGTTATAAAGTCTACAATTACTGGTAAATTTATTATGTTCATGTCTTCAAAATTATTATTTTTATTTAATTTACTTTTATTTTTAGGTATTGAAATGTTTCACAAAATTTTAGAGGAAGCCCAAGCTGGAGATCAACTTGGTGCTCTAATTAAAGGTACTAAAAGAGATGATTTAAGGCGTGGAATGGTATTAGCAAAACCTGGTAGTGTAAAAATGCAAGATAATGTAACTACTCAAATTTACGTTTTGACTAAAGATGAAGGAGGCAATGGCAAACCTCTTATACCTTACCAACAGCTACAAATGTACTCTAAAACATGGGATTGTGCTGTTCAATTAAATGTTGTTGGAAAAGAAATGGTCATGCCAGGGGAAGATTGCAGGTATTTTACATTAACTGTAAATTATTGTTAAACTAAAAGTCTAACATTAATGTCTTGATAGCATCGAGTTGAAAATGATCAGACCAATGGTCCTAGAACAAGGACAAAGATTTACTTTACGTGTAGCTGGTCAAACTGTTGGCACTGGAGTTATAACTGGAGTCAACAAAAGACTATTAGAAGAAGAAAGAAGAAGTTTAACAGAAGGCAAAAAAGCAAGAGAAAAGAGGAAAGCTGCTGAAACATCTGGAGCATAAATAAGACAATTTTTTTCAGTGCTCTTATTAACAGAATGTAAATAAAACTAGTGTGCTATGAATAGCCCAGGATGGATATTATTATGAATAAAAAACTTTAGTTTTTGTATTTCTACGATTGAATGTTTAGTTTATCGATTGATTATTTAAATAAAACTATGTTAATTAATATAATAATAATATAATTTTACATTGATGTATTAGCTTTAAGATTAACAAATTACTAATCAACTATTTTTGAAGTAATCAAGGCATAAAGTAGGGAGCATGTTTAATTTCTAGACATGTAAGATGTGCTTTTATCATTCCTCATAAGAACCAATGTTTATTCAAATTACTTTCCATTAAATTTATTCAGTACTTCTGCTTCTTAAGTACACATTGTTACAAATTATTTTTAAATATATACTACAATTTGAATAAAAAAAAAAATTCTAAAGCCCAAAAAAATTTTAATTATCAATTTTCATTTTATTTCATAATATTAAGTGACTAATCTCCACTTTGATGGTTGTGCACAATCTTTCATTTTATCACCACACAAACGGTTGAAAGTGGTTTCTGGATGAAAACCAAGAATTTCTCGCTCTTCTTGTATTCGAAATGAAAATGTTGACTCATGAGTACCTATAAAATAACTAAAACAAGCAACGAGTTAGATAAAAGTAACTCAACAAATTTAACTAAAATTTACTCTGCTTGTGAGCATATTATTTGATCAATAATAGCAACCCCTCCATCTTTATATGATTTTAAGATTTCCTCATTAGCATCATACTTAATAACATTGTAGCCAATTAATAGCTCTTTTAAATTATAGAACTCTAAAAAAAATTAGAGCAACATTTGTAAATTTTAAAATGCTCGTCAAAGTCTAATTTGTACCTTTATCAGATGCATCAGTTGACACAAACACAAATTTCAGGTTTTTAAGTGATTGAAGTTTTTCTAAAATTTGACTTGCAGCCCACTCTATACTAGGAACCTCTTGTGGACGACCATACAAAAAATCTCGACGTCGCAGATGAACACATAAATATTTATCAAGCAAAAAATTTGTTTTGAATGTATTAGCAATGTTTTTTAAATCTGTAGCAAACTGCATACTTTTTCTAATTAGCCAATACTCTGAACCACCATAATAGTCATGTAAAATAACTTCAGCATGATTAAACATAATTGTTCTAGAATTATAGTAATAATTTCAAATATAAAACTTTTATCATTATTATTACTATAATATTTAATAATTATTACAGGCATCTAAATGCATAATATACTAAGTAGTTAACTAACTTGAATAGATATTTATTGTGTTTAAATGCTAGTAACTCAAATAATAGTTATTTAAAACTTTAATATTACTTCTCTATTAAAGTTTTGATTGCTAAATCAAAAAAGTAACAAAAGTTGACAACTTGTAAAATCATACTAAATTTAAATTATTTTTACACATAAATCTTAAATAATATTTTATGATTTGATTGTAATAAAAAACTACAAGTGTGTTAAACAAAAAGTGTAAAATGTTGTATAAATTATAAGTTATAAGTGGTTCCATTTTTCTGTAACACTATAGGCTTAAATTTACCAAAACTAGGTGAGCTAGAATTAGTCACCAGAGCCGTGAGTAAATTAGAGATTATATTATACCTTTTCTTATACTAATCCGATTTAGATATTACTAAATGTTGAGTTATGAAGATGTTTATAATAAAAATAAAAGCATAGACTATACTACAAAATGCACAAGTAATAATAATTTAAAATTAAAAATAGTTTCTTGTTAGATGTCAATGTATAGTATCTGATACTTGTTTGACCAGTTCACATGGTGCACAGACGGAGGATGACAATCAATAAGATATTTTGATAGTAATATAAAAAATAAATAGTGATAAAAACATTTCTGGCTATTGATGGCCAACAGCCGCAATTTACTACAAATAGTACATAATATAAATTTAATGTTATTTTATAGTAGTGACTGGTTATGCCAATATTTGATAAATATAATACTAATTTTTCATTTTAATTTTAAAATGTTTAAACAATATCCAAATTTCAAACTGTACTTGTATTTTGTAGAAATACTAAGGGGGCTACAACTACTTATTTTAGTATTTAGAGGGCTAAGTCTCTTTAAAACTCCCTCTCTCCAGATTTCTACCTATGTGTTATAAATTTTTTTCTCGAGCTCTTTCTTACTAAGTTATATAATGTGAAGTGACTAAATAGTGTCTGCAAATTTTTACAATTTCATTACACATAATGTGTTGTAAAGTACAAAAATGAATATACCTTTAATCAGGTATTATAAAAGAGTTACTACCTCTCATAATTCAATTTTAAGTATTATTACCTAGGATTAAAATCATTAATGATTTCAATTAAAAGACTTGATGGTCCTTGAAATGATAAACACAAATTCATTAATGATGTTAAATTTGTATAATTCCATACTTGATTTTTCTTAATATCTACACAATCTGTAACTTCCCATTTGTCCGACCAATCATGATTAGGATCTGATAATCCACGGTAATGCTGTAGAGTGACATAAACATCAATAGGTCGTAATCCATTAACTAATCATAAAGTTTGTATGATAATTTATAAATAGTAAATAATACAAAACAATAACAATAAATTAATTGTTAACATAATACATTAAGTATAACCCAATTATTATGCTACTACTCAAAAATATATTCTATATCTTTCATGTTTACTTAAATCAATAAGTTATAGGAAGTCTAAACAATGAAAACATTGGCAGGCTTTATTACAATAAGATACAAATATAAACAAAATAGGAAATCATGTTTTGATGTATAACAATTCTAGTAGACTCAATGGTAGCAAAGAGAAAATCAATACTTCAAATTAATAAAATAACAAATTATCTATATGATAACATTGAGAGTTAATGGTAAAAAAATGTTGATAAAGATGTATAAGCGTTTAAAGAAATATACATTTTACATTTTTTCAAAGACATAACATTTAAAAAAATTTGTTGATAAAAAAATCACCCATGAAACATATGGATTACTTTGTTACATAATTTTATATATTGATTACTATTTAAAAATAGGTTTTGATGTATAAAAAAATATTTAAACATTCTCTAAAAATATTATTTAATTTTGTAATACTTAACATACAAATTTTCAAATAATTTTAAGAACATTTAAATGAATCACTTTATTTTATAACTCTAATTTATTTAGTTTAAGATACATTCAACATCATATTTCAGTTTTCTGATTTCTCCTTTTTATTAATGAGACTATTTATATTTGCGATCATTAAACTACCTTTTTTTAGCAAAATCTTTGTCAATAAAAAAAATATATATACATATTTGACCATTGTATATTCAAAGGAATCTTAATAAATTTTACCATCATGGATTCTAGAACATTTAATTTAAATTTACTTTCAACAAATTCATGAGTCTCAATAATTGGAGTGGTTTTTTTAATTGCATCCAAGTTAAAAAACAAACTCCATGGAAGATTATCTTGATTTATATGCATTGATCGCCAATGATATAACTGATTCCATGGTGGTAAAACCTATAAAAAATAAATTTATATTATAAGAGTAATGTCTTTCAATTAGTTGTAATAAATTAAGAATAATTACTAATATCCAACTATAATTTGAAATTTGATTTAAATGCCTTATAAATGTTGCCATACGTAAAAATACATCACGTCGTAAATTAAATCCTTCCGATTGATTTATATCATACATCACATACCTTTAAAAGAATATTATTTGACAAATAACATATATTAGTAATAATTGGTAATTTTTTAATAATTTAATTATTAAAACTATAAAGTGCATTTATTTATGCAATTATTATAAAAATCTCATATTTATCAAAAAAAATTAAATGGAAAAAGTATAAAATTTTCTTTTTTTAATAATATAACAATCTAAGATATTAAATATTAATAAAAAATATAATTTATCCCACAAATATACTATAGCAATATTATAAAATATGAATAATAAACTTTTACAAAAAATAAACCATACACATTTCACATTTTTTATATAAAATAAATTGTTAAGAAAAAATTATATCGACAATAATCCATAGTCACACAATAATTTAAAACAAGAATTGTAATACTCAAGTGACTGAAATTTGAATATTAGTCTACAAAAGAAATCTTATTTTCTTACCTAGGTAATGTATCTATTAACGAATTACTTTCATCTACAAATTCCGATTTTATCCATACAGACCAAATCAAAATTAACAACAAGGATATTTGACAGCAATGATCAAACATTACACATAATAAAATAAAACAACTCCAGAAACCAATACAATTTTAAAATAATTTATGTTTAAATATACCATTTATTAGTTATAACTATAAAGTGTATTATAGCTCTTTCAAAATAAAATCAAAAAAATTCACATCAATTTCAAATTACTGAATTTTTAGCATACTTATAACTACTTTGACAGCTGTTTTAGATAACTGTTGATAACATTTATCAAAACTGATAAATTATCATTTAAGCGTAGCAAAAATAATATTTAACAAATACACAAATATTTTTTTAAACTTTATTCTTAATATTGAAAATTATTACAATTTAACATAATTTAATGTAAAGATGGTTTTATGAAATGTTAAAATTAAAATTCATTAAAGTAATTAACTATTTATTTTTATTATTTTTTTATTTAATTATCTTTCTCTTCTGCAGTATACATTTTCAGTAACATCATACTTTTAATCGTCAGAGTGACGATTAAAATTATGTTCCGCTCTAACTTTATTGTAAAATTCTGTAAATACAATAATTATAAAATATTTTTAAACAAAAGATATTATTTACCTAGTACACGAAAACAACAAGATGCCTTCTCTAAGTGTATTAATACAATACAAAAGAACTCGAGGAATTCAAAAATGATTCAATATTTTAGGTAAATATTAAAATTACTAATTTTTTTTATCAAAATTTGTCTAAGATTTTAATTATTTTCAGTGTTTCTAGTATACATAGACTACCATTACCTCCACTGGCAGCCTTAGTGATACGTCCAATTGCTAAATTTTTTGCTATGGTTTTAGGCATACAAATACGTCGATGGTATATGAAATTAAGTGAAGAAGAGAAACAAAAATTTTGGTACAATGTGCAAAAACGTCGTAAACAAATATATTACTCAATTTTTTGTGCATTTAGTCTACTAACAATATACTGTACGTTGCATTTAGAAATTGATCCAATTACTGGAAAAAGACGGTTCATAATATTTACCCAACAACAAATGACTGTAATGGCAAATTCTATGGCTAAAGAACTGATAGATGAAAATAAAAGTGCAGTTTTGCAACCATCAGATCCACAGTACAGAAGAGCATTAAAAATAGCTATGCGTATTATTGATGCAAATAAACAATATGATCTTGTAGAAGACCGTAAATGGTTTTTAGTAGTTATTAATGACTCTAGAATTAATGCAATGGTTTTACCAAATGGAATGATAATAGTATTTACTGGATTATTAAATTTAGTCAATGACGAACAAGTTGGAGTTGTGATTGCACACGAAATTGCTCATTGCTTATTAAATCATCATGCTATCAGATTAAGTCGGGAACATTTATTAGAAATGCTTTGGTTAATACCTTTAACTTTAATGTGGGCTTTAATGCCTATTCCTGAAGCTATTTTAGGTTATATATTAGGTAATTATTTTAAAAACTTAACACTGTTATTACCTTACGAACGTGATCAAGAAATAGAAGCTGACAAATATGGCTTATTATTAGCAGCAAATGCTTGTTTAGATGTGCGCCAAGCTTTAGTATTTTGGAATATGATGAATAATATGGATAAATTGAATGATAAAATTTGGTGGACTTCAACTCATCCTTCACACACTAAACGTATAAATTATATTGAAAATTTGATGCCCTATGCATTAAAATTACGGCAGCAAAATGGTTGTCCACCCGTATATCAGAATTTTTGGTCTAATTTTTCTTTTTTCAATTAATATGTTGTTTTGATTATATATTTTTTTTTATATATATCCAGTAGTGTATGCATTGGCAGGGTAATAGAGTTTTACCCCTAGCTATATGGCGTTTTATATTTTCAGCTATATAGTATCCTACCTCAAATAAAATCCTGCTAACGCTACTGTGTATAAATAATGTATTTATCATTATTTAATTATCAATTTGGTTAGATATTTTAACTACAAGTTTGTTGATTAGTTTTAATGGATTTTATCATTTTACTACATAATTTTTTTAGTATATATATTAACATGAGTAAAATAGGCCAATTATTTTTCTAATATATCTATTAAATTTTTTATACACTCTTTTATTTTTTGAATATTTAAATACATTCATATATTTTTTCTGGTGTTAGTGTAATTTTCAAATAATAATGAGATAAATTATGTTTCAAAAACCATAATGGAGGTAGAACAATTAAAAATTTGGTGAACATATTGTGATATAAATAACTGTAAACTTTTTTCTACTCAAAATTATGTACAAAAAAAAATGGCTCAATTAAAACTAGCGGCTAAAAAGTTTTACTAAAAGAGGACACTATGCCTTCTTTAATACACTGCTAGCAAAGAGCATTCTTAAGACTAAATTTTAGAATCTGGGATCATTAGGCTATATCACAACCAAGGGAAAATAGGATTTAAATTTTTTTTGCTTTGCTTATAATGTTTATAATTTTTATTTCTGATATGATGAGCAACAAAATTCAAATAATTATTAACAAAATCCAGTACTAGAACAGGCACATCTGGAGCCATATTAACGATTATAATGGTTTACAGAGTGCCCATATATACTGTAAGTACGGTATATTTGTTTTTTTTATTCATTGCCTATTTTTAAGTGCCAAAAGAATATTTTTTTAGTGGATGACAATTCAATTTAACACTTAAAAATTGTATTACTATAATATGGTATGCTGCCATTCTAACCTACAAAAGGGTATCTCAAAAAGTAGAATATTTAATAAAATTATGTGATAAGATTTACTCTAATTAAATATTACAAAAGTGCTCTTAAGACTTTAATGAAGTATAATTACATTTTGGCTTCAAAAATCCATAGAAAACCACTATATGATCTCATAGAAACAATAAATACTTTTTGTACAAAATTAAAGATACCCCTTTTTGTAATATTATAGCAGCATGAGTGTAAGTAAAAAATTATATTCCTCAAACTAAACCATTAATTAATTTAGTCTCGCTACAGAAACCAAGGGTTCACAAGTTACCGGAATTACAGAGCAACGCGTCTGTTGTCTTATCAATAAACATTATCATATAGTAAACAACATTTATTTTTCAATAATTACAAATCTTAGTTTCTGATTACGTCAAATATAAATTTTTTATACAAAAATTAAGTAGTTATTAATTATGGCTCAATATATGAATGTAGCTGTTGATGAAGATGCAGCTCTCCTACAATTTCCTAAAGAATTTGAAAATGCTGAAACATTACTAATATCTGAAGTATATTTTAAATATTTAAATAAATTATAAATTTGATTAAACGCATAGAATTTTATTTTAGGTAAATATGTTGTTAAAATTTCGAAAAAATCAAAACGAAAGCGCTGAAGAAGAACAGGAATTTTCTGAAGTATTTAATAAGACATTAACATACACGGAACAATGTTCTAAATTTAAGAACAAAGAAACTATTGTTGCAGTACGTAACTTGTTAGCTGGAAAAAAACTACATAAATTTGAACTAGCATCAATTGGAAATCTTTGTCCACAATTAGCAGACGAAGCAAAATCACTTATACCAAGTTTGGAAGGTAGGTTTGATGATGATGAGTTACAACAGATTCTTGATGACATTCAAGCCAAATTAAGTATTCAATATTGATACTTGACTAAGTACAAAACTTATTTTAACATTTTCCTTATATAAAGTTTAAGATTTTTTTTTATGAATTATTCTGATTTATATAATAATTAATGTACAACTATTGTAAATATAACTTACTCAATTCATTTATTGATATTCCTACAAGGTTATTTCATTAAAATAAGTCTATTTATATTTTATCAATAATTTTATCATTTATTTAGTAAAAGTAAATACAATTTAGTGAAGTAAATTAAGTCAGGAGTCTATAATATACAACCCATGGGCCGATTCCGACTCATGGAATCTGTGTGGAATCCATGTGAATCTGCCCATCTCACTTTTAATGATCAAAAAGAATTCATGTATAACTAAGGATACTAATCACCATTTTTTGTTAGATAATAATTTTTTAATAAAAATGTATAGATTAAAGTTATATTCATTTTTATGAATCATAATAAACATTAAGTTTATTGTAAGAAAAAATTATTTCTAATGGTAGATTTTACAAATAACTTTTGTAAGTTAAAAGTAGGAATGGATTAAATAAAATTTTAATTTAATTTTGAATGGTTGAAAACCAGTTTTATATTATTACTTTTTAAGTTAATATAATTTTTAGCTCTAGGAAATATGGATATGCAACATAAAAGAATTCTTATATAAACATTATGATAAAAATAATACTGCTACCCAAATCCTCACCTCTTTTATATCTTTAAATACTAATATTTAAAAAAATTATTTTACAGAACTGGTTATTTACCATACAACATTTTATTTAATCCATTCCCTATTAAATAGTAAAATAATAATTTCCTAATTAACTTTTGAAAGTTACCCTTAGAAATAATTTTTTCTCGCAATAAACTTGCTATAAATATCCAGTTATTTTATTTATTTTTATGAACCATATTATAAAAATAAATATAGTATTAGATGGTAGATCAATATTTTCTTCATAATGGTAAAAACTTTTGCTTGCTGATGTTGAATTGTTCTCAAGTAGTAATACATATTCTTTTTAAATCTGATAATATTTCATTGACAAAAAATGACCCATCAAATTATAAATACTTTTTAAATGACCCACTGTGATTGAAACATTTTGTAATGATGATATAGTACAAACTGCTGTATTGAATGATTCTTTAGCCTCTAATGTGTAGATTCTACACCAATTGTTATAACAAAATTTTCCTTAGCACTTATATTGTACATAAAACAATTTATTAAATTATTTTCAGAAAACAAACTATATTTATTCATACTTGTCTCAACCATGGTAATCATATTTTGTTAGAAAATCAAGACACAATAAGCACAAAAACCTAAATGATAGTAACTTATAAAGTATTTTGGAGATAAAAACAATAGTTGGGACAAGTATAGATGATATCTGACATAAAATTAAAATCACTATCATAAGAAACACTTGTATTCAAATCTGTAGATAGTGTTTAATTTTAAGAAATCGGTGGATTTTTCCAAAGGCAAAATAAATTCCTATTTCCTTATTTTATATATGAATAAATATTAGATAAATTTAACATTATTTATAAAATATTTAATTAATTTGTACAACTTTGACGGGCATTCGCAAAATTGAAGATAGGTCATCAGGACAATTTTTCTTTTTTTTAATTTATAGTACGTCATGAGCTTCAATTTAAATAACGCAGTATTTCCCTATCATTTTCGAAAGTTAATTTGAAAAAATTGATTTTTGTAAAAATTTTAATGTTTAAATTCACTCTTGTTGACAGGTAAAGGGTTAGGTTTTTAAAAAAAAGTAATTTTTTGGAGTTTTCCTCCACTTCCAGGAAACTAGGGAAATTTTTAAGAGGGATGTATTCAACTATATACGATTTGTGATCTTTTGATGTATTGTTGAAAGAAATCAGTTCAACGAGAGCTGAGAAAAAGTGGCCACAGACATAAAAAACACATCCATAGTAAAATAAATATCTTCTCAGCTTCGAATCGAATCTAAAATATAAATAATGCAGTCACTAATAACACAGAATCAATTGACGATTTGATAATTACAAAAAAAGTGTTGGAAATTAATTTATTAATTCAAGTAGAAGATTTAACTTATAGACAGATTATATTAACTCGTGGATAATATTACTATCTACGCTAGTATACTAGTAACACTTGAACGCACGTTTAGTACGCATCGAGTCTGTGCGTTGCATTTGTCACACTCCCATATGTATAAACTTCTCCACCGATTCCAGTGTTTAAGTATACAGATCACCACAGTCACAGTGTACAAACGCTTGTACATGTATTTATTACTACGAACAAATGTAGAAGTCGCAGCTGAAAGGTCACTAGACCGTTTACTATTACACGTATGCTTGTATGTGTGTGTGTGTTGCTGCGAACAGTTAATATACAGAGGCCGCCGATATTTACAATAGCAAAAACTGTACAGTAGTTAGTAAAGTCATCTCGTATGTTTATATATGAATCCTACTTGATAACGATAAAAATTTATGGTTGATGAGATCAATGAACTTGTAAGTTAACAAAAGAAAAAAATTAATTTTCCAGATCAGTGAATATAGTACAAAAGTAGACGCCACGTTTGCAAATTTGATAAGCACCAAGCTCATGTTCACGTGCGTACTGTGTACAAAGTTTGTGTTAATTTTATCGATTTTTACGTTTAAAATAATATTAGTCTCAAGTACTCCACTTTTCAGTCTACATACTCTATGCTCATTTATGTCCATGTGTCGTACATTATGTTGTTACGCCTATACATCATATTTAATACATGAAAAATTATACACTTCTGTAATTGCTAGCTGGCGATTTTGTAAAATTTGCAACTTTGTACAGACTAAATGTTCTTATTATATTCAGATTTATAACTTGTTCTCCAGTAATTTTTAAAATTAGGTTTATAATTTGTTTTTAGCAGCCTTTTAAATTATTTCTAAATAATTTAAAAGGCGGCTAAAAAGTTATTTTCATAACTTAATGACCATTTATAGAAGTTTATTTTTTTTGGCTAGCCTGTACGCTAATTTTAAGTAATTCTTCTACGAATTAGCTTTATCTAAAAAAAATATTTCTTTTTTATATCAGAGTCGTCAAAAAACACGTTTAAAACATAACAACACTTGTTTGTATTGAAATTTAATACTAAAGTCCAATAAATTAGTTATTCAATTTTTGACCAAAATTACAGCCTCTCATTTTTTGACTCCGTAAAAAACATTTTAGTATGATATATGAATTTGTATGCACATTTTCTAAAATCATACACTATTTGTTGTGTAATAATTGATTAATGCTTGAGCATATGGCCCTATTAGCCCCTAAGTATGCCACTGATTAAATTAAAAAATGTGTCCCCAAAAATTGGTTCATTACCATACAAAAAATATTATGAGTAAAAAGTTAGAAGACAACTGTAACTGTAGTTGATCATCAAAAAATTAAATTCATATCGCACCAAAATACCAGTTAATACAATAGATATAAAGTTTTTTCGAATAATAATTGATTAAAAAAAAAAAAAAAAAATGCGTAAAAAATATACACAGCATGAATATAATATTTTTTTTTTTAATTAACTTTTCAGTTTATTATTTTCTAGAATTACTATTATTATTTTTTATTGTAGTGCAAGTACACTTTGAGTAAAAATAGCAAACTGGTAAAAATTTATAAAGGTGGGTTGGGTTTAGAAGAAAAATAACCCTCAGGAATTCATAGTGTCTAGACATATCACCCCAAAATAACGAGTTTTAACAATAAATGTTAAGCTATACTTGAATAATAGTTTTTGACGTGTCAAAGTAAACGTCATTGTTAAAAATGTCTTAACGTCTTATACTCACACAGTAAAATATTTTTTTTTTTTATAGTAGTATTTCATAAACATTCTAAAATTCAAGCACTTCAACTGAACGTTTTTAACACGTACAATGTAAAGAAAAAATTTTATGAGTAAAATTATCGTTTTTATACTAAAACAGTACGTATTCCAGTTTTTGAAGGTTTTCAGCATAATCAAATCCAATTTAAATTATACTTATGAGTCGTGATTTTATTTTTGTAAATTATACTGATACTAAAAAGCAAATTTGTAATCTTGGGTAAGTATTCTCCAAAAAATGATAATAAAAATTTTTTAAAAATTACCAAACAAGTTTTTTGCAGTTATAATAATAATAATGGCTAATGGCAACTAAATACTAATAAACTATTATTTTATTTACTTAAAATAATTAAATATTATTATTATATAAATAATGTCTTCAACCTTTTGTCACTTGTAAAATATGACATTTTTTACAAATAATACTAAATTTCTTATATGATAATTTTGATTGTATTTATTTCAAATGTAATTGCAATAAAAGAAAACACCACAGATATAGTATTTTAAATTCTGATATCCTTAAAAATATACATAAATACTGTGTCTTTATATTTTTATATCATATATCTTTTTACTTTCATAAAAATAATATTATTTAAATTAATATTATCCATAAGCCCTTTCCCTTTACCTTCCATTTTACGACAAACCATACCTATTACTATTTGATGTTAACAAAAAAATTCATAATCATACACCGTATATCTTTTTACTTAAATATTATAACTAAACAAGCATAAATAACTCACCTGTTCTATCTCATTCATGTGCTCAATCCCCCTTTATTCATGATAAAGTATTACAAATTATAATTTCAGCATTCATTTATTCACCCTTTTTCGCATTTATACACCTGAATTCATAGATAATCGAATCACAGAATCTTGTAAAACCGCCCTCAAAACATGATCCATAATGGCGAGCAAAAGTAAATATCTCTCACAGGTTTTCACATTATGCGATATCACCCCAATATACAAAGACCCCCTTCAAACGTACACACACAAAAATTTACCAAAACAGTTGACGTATTGACGTATAAGTGAACTAATGACGTATAGATGCAGTGACGTAAAAGGAAACTAGTGTATTAAAAACAACTTTCTTTTAAAGAATACCAAAACAACCCCTTAGGCTTTTTTAGAAGGAACATTTATACAGCACTATGTGACACTAGTTTTTAAAAAAATATATTAAGAAAAGAAAACCCCTCGAATCACAGAACCCAATATAAAATAAAACTCAAAATAAGGTTAAGATTACAACACAATAATTTATTATTCTTCTCTAAAACATTTATAAAAATCAATACCTCTAATATTTCTCAATTCACACAAAAAAATACACTAGCTTAATAACACATTTATTTCTGGTTTTTGCAATAATATATAGTAGCCATGAGTCACTATTTTTCTTCGCGTCTTCAAAGTACCACAAAGATACTAAATAAAAAAATAATAGTCAAAACTTTATTGAAATGATTAGACTACAAACCGATAGAATAATGCTACATATGTCTATAAAAAGTTATA